TGTGACAGGCATCATCAGTGGCGTTGCTGGCGGGGGCGAAGTGTTCTTCTCAGCAGTACCGCGGTGACCGCCAGCAATGCCACATCTAATTATATATTTGTTTTAAAGAGTTTCACACTGTTTACAAGTTATGAATCTTTGGAGGTATCTTGGTTTTACTCATTATAATGACTGAACAAGAGATAATTATAACTCATTGTAAAACTGTTATTTTCATCTTCAGCCGAAATCATTGTTTTCATTACTTGTTTAATAGTGTTATTCGTTTCTTTTCATCAAATGTGTTTCCTTATTCCAATCTTCCATTGTGACTGGTTGTTACAAATAACCACCCATTTTTAAACGAGGGAATTCACTCGAATAATCTTACTCGTCCATAAGGTTTTTACTTCGCTTAGTTATAATTGTATAAATATACCTGCAATAATCATAGGGAACAATTTTTGGGTTTTGTGATTTTGTGTTAGCAATACATATTTAAAAAATATACATTTTAAAAATTCAACGACCCCTCCCCCCCCAACAAAAAACCCTAAATAAATTTGCCCCCTAAAACTCCACTTAACTCACCCAAGACCCCTAAATTTAAGGGGGAAACCCTACCCTGGCAACACTGGAGTCTTCAAAAGAAATGCCCGTGATGTGGTCACGTGGTTTGCAACGCAAACTGGTGTTGCGCAGAACGAAACAAAAATCGATTCGCCGGAGGAACTCACCGCAGCGAAAGTATTAAAGAGATTGAGAACTAGGCGTTATATGTCGATAAAGGAACCTCGAATAGAAATGAGCGTCGATTTTGATGTAAACATGTGTTATTATTGTATTATTATTCATTATTATTATTATTAGTAATTATTATTAATGGGGGCTTGGAGATATGGCATTGCCTCCATTCAGACACACAAATTAAAATAATGTAGTAGTAGGTGTAGTAGTAAAAAAAGAAATAGAAAAAGTAAAAAGACATAAAAAACAACAAACAGAAAAAAAAAATTAATGAATAAAATAAAAAAAAAAATAAAAGTAGGAGTAGTAGTGTAGTAATAATAATAATAATAATAATAATAATAATAATAATAATAATATATTGCCCAGATAATAAATATTTACAAGTGAAAATAATGTAACACACCTACTATTTTTGTTCCAGAATATCAACATGCAGGATAATAATGATAAAATTAAAATGAATTCGATATTATATTGAAACAATTATCAGTTATGCGTATCGAAATCTTCTTCCTTAAAATATTAATAATTTTTCATTAATAATATGATTAGTACGAATAAGCGATAATTAAAAAATATATAAATAAATTTATTAATAGTACTAAAACTGCAAACCCCCTCCCGTGATTTAGCCCGAGGCGATCGCCTTGGTTTGTCTCTAGATAGGCGCTGACCCTTTTTACAAGCCATACGCAGCTAATTAATCGTCGTTGTAACTTGCGCCAAAAATAAATGCTTTTGAAATAAACACTTGTTTACATTCAAAATCGACGGTCATTCTATTCGAGTTATTATTAACGCACACCAACGGCCTAGTTCTCAATCTCTAATGCCTTTTCCGCTTTGCGGTGAGTTCCTCCGGCCAATCGATTTTGTTCGTTCTGCGCAACACCAGTTTTGGTTGCAAACCACGTGACCACATCACGGGCATTTCTATTTGAAGACGCAGTGTGCCAGGGTAGCGGTTTCCCCCTAAATATTAGGGTTCTTGGTGTGTTAAGTGAGTTTTAGGGGGCAAATTTATTTAGGGTTTTTGTTGTAATAATAATAATAATATAATAATAATAATAATAATAATAATAATAATAATAATTAATAATAATAGAATGTTTATTTTCCATCAATTTTTTATGGGTCCTGATTAAGTCAAACATGACTTAATATCAGGTTGCCCATTTATTACAGAATTTGTACAGTAATTTCTTTCTTAAATACATAGTGTTGACATACTATAATTTTAACCTAATATAATTACATATAACACATATTTCTTTATGGAATATTTACAATAAATTAATTCAATGTTAAAGTTAAAAAACATAAAAAATCCTATTTGTAACAATTGCAATATTGGTGTTTTACAGTTTAATCTATAAACCACGCATTAAAACAATGGTTAACAATTTCAACTATATTTATGAATATTTACAGAGTAACAAATTGAGAAAAAAGTAAATTATAGTTGTACCTTTTGTTTATAAATTGTGTGTAAATTTTGCTCTAAGTCCATATACTTACAGTTTATAACAGTATTATTTTTAAAATTAATATATAACAATCACATAGGTAGCTTCATTTCTTATTTTAATGTAGTCACTTTGGTATAACACATACCAGTATGTATACCCAAAAATAACACAAATAATAATGTAAACTTTCTATAAACAGTGTTTACACATAAAAAAAAAAAAAAAATATTGGTTTTCTGCAGTCCTTATGGTATCTCTCAATGTATTTATTGTATTGGCCTATTGTTAATTGTTTTGTACTTACATTTTCAGTTCTTTTTTGAATTTATTAAAGTTTTGGACCATGGTTTCTAGATCTAGTGGCAGTTCATTGTATACAATTTTGGTGTTACAATAATTTTAATGATCTTTCTCCGTACCTAATGTTAGGTGAGTGGGGATCATATATTTTTTCTTCTGAATGCATAGTTTATGTGATGCTATTGTTTTAAAATTGGTTATTATTATAGTGAATCATTTATATGATTAATTTGTAAAAGACAATAAGAGGTCAAAGTATCAGCTTCTTTTCGAAGTTGTGGATATCCCATTGGTTGTTGTTCATTCTGATCATTTTCAGGAATTTTTGATTGCATATTAGTTATACTAAACAGATGGATTGGTAGCTAGCCCCCCCCCCACCCCCCTATATAACAACCATATCTTAGTATTGACTCTACTAATGTTTTGTACAGAAGAAGCATAATTCTTTTGTTTAAATAATCTTTTGCAACATAGAGACAGCAAGATATTCTTTCAATTTTGTCAAATAATATATTAGTATGCTTTTCAAAATTCAGATGTGGGTCGAACATTACACCTAGATAATTATATTCTGTGGTAAAGTTTAGTCTCGCACAATTACAGGGTAATGTTTGATCATTAATGAGGCATTTATGCACACGAAATCTAGTTCCTTCAATTTGTGGATTTTACATATGCAGTGTTGTGAAGTACATTAATTTAGTTTTACTTGGATTAACAAAAATTTTATTATTGTCTGACCATTTTAGCAGAGATTTGAAATCACTTTCTATGATTTCTTGGCACAACTTTAGATTTCTGTGAGAATATAACAGTATTGCATCATCGGCATACATATATAATTTGCATTTCTTAATTTTTGTGAACAGGCTATTCACATAGATAATAAATAAAACTGGACCCAATTGACTTCCCTGTGGTACACCATATTTAACATATTTTACGGAACTTTCTGTATTTGCAAGTTTAACAATGAATTTTCTATTTGATTAGTAACTCTCAAAAAGCTTTAGAAAACGATCTTGGGGTCCTATTTCTTTCAGTCTTTATATTAAAGTTTTGTGGTCAACTGTATCAAATGCTTTACTATAATCTATATATAATGCAAGAGTTTCTTGTCCCTTATTTAATTTCTCTGTAATATAGTTGCCTACTTTGTTAAGTAGCTGTTCAGTCCTTTTCCCTTTTTGAAACTCGTACTGGCCCTTGTCAATAATATTATTTTCTTTGAGATACTTATTTAATCTAGTTACAATATATTTTACCATGGTTTTTTCAATAATCGACAATATTGATATTGGTCGATAATTTGTTAGCTCAGTAGCATTACCATTTTTATAAATAGGTCTAATAATGGCTATCTTCATGCAGTCTGGAAAGACATCTAACCTCAAGATGTTGATAAGAATGGACAATGTCCGACAAAATATTTCAATGTTGTTACATATATCTCGAGCCCTAATCTTATCGTAACCTGCACCTTTATTATCATTAATTTCTTTTATGAATTTCGTAATTACTATTGGATTGGTAAATGGGATGTACCACCTTACTACTAGTTGTTTCTCATCCATGTTATCCTTTTCACAACCATAAATTCTATTCCCTTCTATAATATCATCAACATGCTTTACAAATTGTTCAGCAAAATCATCAGCAATATTTTGTATACTTTTATTTTTTCCTAGTAAGTTTATAATTTTGTCATCTACATCTTTTGTTGTTTTTTTTCTATTTAATACATGATTTAATTCAAACCATAATTGTTTGCTATTAGATGCTTTATTTTCAAATCGAGACTTGAAGAAATCTTT